CATCTTGTTCTGGGTCTTCCTCTTCTTCGCTGACACTCCACTTTTCCAAGCATGATGTCCTTACAGAATTCAATAGCATGTATTGATGTTGTTGTTAAGTGCCGTTGAGTTGGTTCCGACTCATAGCGACCCTGTATAGGGTTTCCAAGCAGCGGCTGGTGATCTTAAACCCGACTTTGGATATGTATGTCACGTATTGTGTGATTTCATTTATATGAAAGGTCCAGAATAGGCAAATATATATGTATGGTAGATTGGTGGTTACCTAGGGCTTGGTAAGGAGTCCTGGTGTGGCGCTGTAGAATAAGCATTGGACTTCAAAAAGCAAGGTCAGCGGTTCAAATCCACCAGCTGCTCCTTGGAGACTATACTGGGTGGCTGTGAGTCAGAACCGACTCGATGACACTTAACAACAACAGGACTTGGTAAAGTAGTAGTAGTTGTAGTTGCGTGTGCTTGAGTTGGTTCTGACTCATAGCAATTTTGTATAGGGTTTCTGAAAAGTAGCTGGTAGGTTTGAACCACCGACCTTAAGGTCAGCAGTCCAGTGCTGATCCTACAACACCACACCAGGATCCCTGGCAAAGCAGCTGGTCAAGGAAAAAGAGGGAAACTCTTAGTGAGATGGATTGGCACAATCGCCACAATGGACTTAAAACAGCAACCTTTCTGAAGTTGGTGCAGGACCACGTGACATTTCCTGTCCCCTGGAGTAGGAAACAACTAGGTCTAGGAAGGGGCTAGGCTACAAGGAAGTGGGGAGTGCCTGCTAATGGGAACCTTGTTTTTTCCTGGGATGATGAAAATGTTCTAAAATCGTGGTGATGGTTGTACAGATCTGTGACTATACTAAAAGCCATTGGCTTGTACGCTTTAAATAGATGAATTGTATGGAATGTGAATTGCATCTTCTTTAGGAAAGAAAATGAACTCTGATTGCCGGAAGCTGTTGTATCATCCCAGAGATCTTTTAAACAATCAGTCATCTGAAAAGTGAAAGCGAGCTGAGAAAATACGAAACGTCATCAGGAATTTCTGAACAACAGGCCTAAATACCAGGACACCCAGCACCGAACACAGTGCTTTCTAGCACCGCCCCTGGACACACAGTCTCCGGCAACAACCAGGCCGCTCCTCTTCCCTCGAGTCGCTCGCCACGCCCCCTGAACACACAGAAACTCCTCCTCTTCCCCCGCCGGATGACCCCGCCCCTTAATGCCCCGCCCCCGTGTCCGCCCCTCGGCTCCTCCTCTTCCCCCGGCCGCGCCTGCCCTGCGCCGCGAACCCTAACAGTCCGATTCCTGTTGCGCGCGGGCGGCGCGTGACCGGGCGGCGCGGAGCTGAGCCCGAGCCCTGCGCGGCCCCGGCCCGCTTCCCCGTCCGGTCCCCGAGATGCTACTGCTGGTGGCTGCCTTCCTTGTGGCCTTCGTGCTGCTGCTCTACATGGTGTCCCCGCTCATCAGCCCCAAGCCCCTCGCGCTGCCTGGGGCGCATGTGGTGGTGAGTGGTCCCGCGGGCGCCCGAACCCCGCGCGTCGCCGGTTGGGGAGCCTGCGGGTGGGGAGGCCGTGCCGCGCTTCTCCAGGCCCGACCTGCGCTGGGCGCCCGCCCGCCTGCCCGCCTGCAGAGGCCACCAGCAGCTCTGACCTCGGGCAGCTCATTGATGCGCGGGGCTGGCCGCAGCGAGCCTGGGCCCGGGAGGGGAATATTTTTTGGCCTCTGTTTTCGGGATGAGTCAACTGAGGACCAGAGAGGCCGAGAAACTTTGCCAAGGACACAGCGGTCGGTGGGCGTGGGGTGGACGCAGCCAGGAGTGTTCCCAGCAAGAGTGGTGTCAGAGGGATCCAGGAAAACGACTGGGATCCCGAGAGCTGGCCGGCGGGAGGCTACTGCCCTGTGGACATTGCAGGTGTCCTGTGCTCAACCCAGAGTCTTCGGATTGCTACTCAAATGCAATTATTCAGAGTCAAGTCAGCGCCTTAGAAGTGGAGGGCCTGTGATTGGGTTTGGTTTCTTTCTGTATTCAGAGACCCTTATTCAGCAAAAATATGTTGAAAGACTCATGCGAGCTGGGCAGCTTTCATAAACCTGGTGAGAATAAGCTTTCCTTGTGGCTCTCTCCTCTGTTTTCGTCCTTGAATCTCAGCTTTGAGGCTGAGTGACTCCGGAGTTCTGAATTAGGAGTGTTGGTTATTAAGCTGGGAGCACAAATCCACCAGCTTTTCGGGTCAGCATCCAAGCACTTGAACACTGCATCACCGAGGCTCCTTCCTTGTGCTGAAGGTGAGACTGTGTCTGTGAGACCCGAGTTTCCACTCTGAGCTGGGACAGTCATTTGTGGTCCAGTAAATCACCATGTGTTTTAAACCTGGATGAGATTTTGGGATTGATAACATTCATTTTCTTGGTTTCCTTTGTAAAACTTTAGTGTATTTCCTTCTGCTGCTATTTCTCATGTGGAAGGGCTGTGAGAAGGTTAGTGTAGATTCATTTAAAAGAGAAAGAAGCAACATCCTACAATAGCACTAAATTTGGTAAATTTCACTACTGGCCATAAAAGAACTCCGCCTCAAATGCATGGCATTAAAAGTCTGATTCTTTCAGATATTATTGTTACATAGGTTATGCAAAGCCAAAGAACATTCTGATTTGAAATTTTAAAGACCATTTCATTTAATCTGGTGGTGGTGGTTCATAGGCAAGACACAAATGTTGGGAATACAAATAATAATTTATTTCCAGCCTCCTGTTTTTGTAAATCCCATTGAGTTGATTTCAGTGCATAGTGACCCTTATAGGACCCGGTAGAACTGCCTCCTAGGGGTCTTGGTGTGGCACTGGGGACAGTGTGTTGGACTGATTGGTCAGTTTGAACTACAAGGTTGGCAGTTCAGATTCATCAGCAGCTTCTCAGAAACCCTATACAGGGGTCCTAGGAGTCAGAATGATTCGACAGCACTGAACAACAACAAAGCCAGTCTTTACAGATTTGGTGGTAGTGGTAGTTGTGATGTGCTGTGGAGTCGGTTCCAATGCATAGCCACCCTGTACAGGATTTCCCAGGCTGTAAATCTTTACGGGAGCAGAACGCCTCATCTTTCTCCTGTGGAACAGCTGGTAGTTTCCAACTGCTTACCTTAAGGTTGGTAGCCCCATTCATAAACCGCTACACGGACTGCTGTATCTTCTCCCATAGAACAGCTTGTGGTTAGTAGCTAAGTGCTTTAACCACAATGCCACCAGAGTTCCGTCTTGCTTTAAATGTTGTTAGGTGCCACCGAGTCTGTTCAGGCTCTTAAAGAGCCTGTTTAGGATTTCTGAGGAGCTGCTGTTGGGTTTGAACCACTGACCTTGCACTCAGTAACCTAGGGCATAACCTACAGAGCCACACCAGGACATGTAAGGAACCTTGTTGTTAGGTGCCATCAAATCAGTACCAACTCATAGCAACTCTATGTACAATAGAATGAAACACTGTCTAGTCCTGGGCCAACCCCACGATTGTTGCTACGCCTGAGCCCATCGGTGCTGCCACTGTGCCAGTCCATCTTGTTGGGGGTCTTCTTTTTTCTCCGACCCTCCACTTTACCAAATATGATATCCTTCTCCAGCGATTGGTCCCTCCTAATGTTGTTGTTGTTAGGTGCTGTGGAGTCGGTTCTGACTCATAGCGACCCTGTACAGGGTTTACGAGACTATAAGTCTTTACGGGAGCAGAAAGCCTCATCTTTCTCCTGTGGAACAGCTGGTAGTTTCGAACTGCTGACCATGAGGTTAGCAGCCCAATTCATAGCCACTACGCTACTAGAGGTCCTTCTGATAGTATATCTGAAATATGAGTGACAAAGTCTGGCCATGCTGGCTTCCAAGAGCACTTTGGCTGCACTTCTTCCAACACAGATCAATTTGTTTTTCTGGCAGTCCATGGTACGTTCAGTATTCTCCAAATGCATCAATTCTTCTATGGTCTTCCATATTCACTGGCCAACTTTCACGTGCATATGCTGTTGTTGAAAATACTATGGCTTGGGTCAGGTGCACCGTAGTCCTCAAACTGACACCTTTGCTCTTGAACACTTTTAAGTGGTTTTGTACCACAGATTTGCCTAATGTAATACATCACTTGACTTCTTGACTGCTGTTTCCATATAAGGAGCCTCCATTCTAGGAAATCCTAAGGAGCAATTCTCCTGTGACCTGTTATGACTTGGGGGGGTGGGGGTTGTAAGTAATGTGAATGGATCCTGTGACACAAGGCTACTAACCAAAGGGTTGGTGGTTTGAACCCATTTAGCGGCTCTGTAGAAGGAAGGCTTGGCAGTCTCCTTCTGCAAAGTAAACCCTGTGGAGCAGTATATTCGGCAACACATGGGTCACCATGAGTCAGGAACCGGTTTGGTAGCAGCTACAATAAACAACAGTAACACACAGGAGAGGACGGTGTTAGTAAGTCACCATATGTTTTCCTTTTTAACGATATTATATTGGAGGTTTGTTAGGACGAGGTAGAGAGGTGATGGGAGAGGGAGCTACTTGGATAATGGCTGACTGTAGATGCCCAGACAAACATATGGCGAAAGCATCGATTGGGATTTTAGAACAGTTTTTCACATTACGGCAAGTCCCACAATCACAGTAGGATGCAGCTGTTCCTTCTCCAGCTACTGGTCCCCTCCTGACAATATGTCCGAAGTATGAGAGACGAACTTTGTCCATCTTGGCCTCTCAGCCTTACGTAAATCAGCAGGGCTTTATAGAGCTGTGATTGACTCTGGGATAATTGGGAAATCAGTTGGAGAAGGGGTCCTGGTGGTGTGGTGGGTTACACGTTGGGCTGCTAACAGGAAGATCGGTAGTTTGAGCCCATGAGCGAAAGATGTGGCATTCTGCTTCCATAAAGATAGTTGTTGTTGTGTGCTGTTGAGTATAGGGTTTCCAAGGAGCGGCTGGTGGGTTTGAACCAGCAGCCTTGTGGTTGGCAGTCCAGTGCTCATCCTACAGTGCCACACCAGGACTCTGTGAAGACACCCAATGGAGCAGCCCGCTAGGGTTGCTCTGAACTGGTATTTATTACATGATAATGGAGTTTCAGTTTTGTTTTCATACACGGCTGGGAATCTGTTGCCCTTAAGAGGCATAACATTTGATTAAAGAAATAGAAACATTTAAGCGATATTTGAAATGAGTAGTAAAAGGGAATGACGAAGAAAAGAAATTAAACTGTTGTCTAGTAGTGTAGTGGTTATGAGCCAGGCTGCCAACCTCAAGGTCAGCAGTTCGAAACTACCAGTGGTTCCGCAGTAGAAAGATGAGGCGTTCTGCTTCTGTTAAGATTTACAGCCTCGGAAGCCCTGTGCAGGGTCACTATGAGTCGGAACTGACTCTATGGTACTTAACAACAACAACAACAAGTGTTGCCCCTTTAGGCTCTCTGAAGCAATCTTCAGACAACTTATTATGCATTTACCATTTTCCCTAGCATTAAGAAAATCTCTTTTATTTTCGTACAGCCTTCAGAAGAACATAGCCCAGGACTGTGTTAAGTATATCCTTAAATTTAGATGGAAATTAGTTTCTCACGAACCATTACACAGAAACTATAGTCTTAACTCTTGTTGTTAAAGAGAGTTCTTGCCAGTGATCGGATTTGTACCTACTTCTCAGCTGGCTAACTCGCACACTGTCTGAACTACGGTGGCAGCAATAATTACAAACATTAAGATCCACTTATCACGTTAGTGCCTAATCCTTGTCTTGCATAATTTGTAACTTCAATTTCCATTAATTCATGGAATAGTAAGTAGGCCTGCATGGCATTGCATTTTTCAGCGATATGGCATCGTATGATCGTTTATGAAATATGTAGGGCAAGGATTGATTTGCTGACTTCTTATGCAGAGTACTGTGTTAGATTTGTTGGTGGTGCTAAGGGTCGTCGAGTCTGCTCTGACTCCGTATAGGTTTTCCGAGGAGTGGTTGGTGGGTTTGAGCCACTGACCTTGTGGTTAGCAGTCCAGTGCTTATCCTACAGCATCGCACCAGGACTAGATACGCGTGATGTAAATTGGACTTGGTCCTCACCCTTAAGGAATTTCTAGTCTGATAAGGGATCTAAGGCGTGTGTAAGTAACTACACAAGGTAGAAGGTGGCATGGGTAAAGGGCAGAACCAGGTGCCAGAAACCAGATAGATTCATGGAGGAGGAAGTGTTTGAACTAAGCTTTGAAGAACAGGTTGTTGTTGTAAAGTGCTGTTCAGTCGGTTCTGACTTACAGCAATGCTGTATAGGGTTTCTGAGGCTGTAAATCTTTGCAGGAGCAAAAAGCCTCATCTTTCACCCACTGAGCAGCTGGTGGGCTTGAATTGCCGAACTTGTGGTTCAAAGTCCAGTGATTATCCTACAGAACCACTGTTCTCCCCAACGAAGGATAGTTAGCACTCCCCAACGAAGGATAGTTAGCACTTGGAAATGTAGGTGTTGGGGGTAGATCGGGTATAGGGGAATATAAGTAATAGGAATAACATCATAAAATAGGGATCATTTTTAGTGTGAGCTGGGCAGGGGTCGGGATGCCCTCCTTTTTGCTATGGAGTTGTAATATCTGGTGGAAAATAATAAACTAAAACAATCCATGAACTATCCCAAATAGCTAAGACCTCCTCAGTGGTAACAGTTAGCTTAGGCAACAGATATAATTTTACAGAAATCTTCTGCAGGTTGAAGAATTCACTTCTGTGGTAGGGAGTTGAGTCTTGTGGAGAAAGGTACATTTGTGTAGACTTCATGGTGATTTCATGGCATGGTGTCAAAGATGTTCATTACTGCATTATTTATATATGATGTTGTTGTTGTTAAGGGCCGTCAAAGCGACTTGTAGTGACCCAGTATAGGGTTTCCAAGGAGTGGTTGGTGGGTTTGAACTGTAATCTAGTGCTTATCCTACAGTGCCACACCAGGGCTTCTATGTTGCTATAGCCTGACATCCAGATTATTTGTATGTAGCAGTAAAATTTCAGAAGGAACCTTGATGCCAGGCGACAGTAAACGCCCCAAACCAAACCCACTGCCATTGAGTTGATTCCAATTCATAGTGGTTACAAGTCAGGCTGCTAACCTCAAAGTCAGTAGTTCAAAACTACCAGCCGTCCTGCAGGAGAAAATTGAGGCTTTCAGCTCCCATAAAGATTTATAGCCTTAGACACCCTATACAGGGTCGCTGTGAGTCAGAACCGACTCCATGGCACATTGCCACCGCCACCACCACCACCGGGTGGAACTGCTCTCTTGGTTTCTGAAGCTGTAAATCTGTATGGAAACAGGTGACTTTGTCATTCTCCCTTGGAACAGTTGCTGAGTTTGAACCTGATATATCATTGGTCAGCAGTTCAATGTACCACCAGGGCTCCTAAATGACCAACTATAAACAAAACCACTGTCTTCAAATCCATTCCGACTCATAATGACCTTGTGTATGGTTTCCGACGCTGTCAATCTTTGTGGGAGCAGGAAACCTCCTCTTTCTGCTGTGAAGTAAGATGGATGGGATTTAATATTTTCTAAACCATTGGTGGAATTGAACTGCTGACCTTGTGATTAACAGTCCAATGAACTAGTGCAGTGTTATGAAGCCTTTTAGTTTTACGACATAAGACATTGCGACATAATTATTATTATTCTTTTTTAAAAAACAAGATGCAGTACTGTGTGATAACATAATTTGCATAGGGGAGATACTGAGAAAGATCATGTTTCATTCATTTTCAGTTTACTATTGAGTACTTACATTGTGCCAAGCGCTGTGCTCAGAGGTCGCAATGTGGATCTTTTGGGGTGGTGGTAGGAGAGATGGTTGTCAATGAAATAATCAGGCAAATAAATTCCCAGCAGTTTGAATATGCCAGTCCCATAAAATATAGAGGGCTGTTGTACTGAGAGGTGAAGCGAGCTGTGTGGGGCCAGAGGGGTGAGTGAAGGTAGTGTTTAAGCTGAGTTCATGGGAGGGGTTACAGACTGAAAGCCTTTCAGCATGGCTGAGCCATCCACAGATGATGACAGTGCATGCAGGTGGCCTTCCTTATCTCTGGTAGAACTAGTCTGGCATAGGGGGCGAGGCAGTAAGGAAATAAGATTCCTTTGGATTTGGATTTGGATGCAGACCAAGGACTCATTCACTAGCTGGATTTACGGGGCACTTTCCTTCTACAGAGCTCAGCAAACCTTTATAGGTGGGCCTCTTCCAGTTCTCTCTGGGAAACAGTAAACGCATTAGGCCCTGCACTAAGCAGACCCTTGAACCTTTGTGCTCATTCCAGGTATCGCATTTATAGTTTGCTTACGACTCAAGAATTGAGTTCTTCTAGAGTGTGTCTAGGGGGTTCTGGCGTGACGCTGTAGGATACGCACTGGACCGAAAGGCCGGTTTGAACTGTAAGGTCAGTCGTTCAGACTCATCAGCTGCTCCTTGGAAACCCTATTCAGGGTCATTAGAATCGGAACCGACTTGATGGCACTTCAAACAACACAGTGTGTCTTACGAGTTCTGGTTTGACGCTGTAGGAGAAGCACGGTACTGCTAATCTCAAGGGCAGTGGTTCAAACCCACCAGCCGTTTCTGGGAAAGTCTATTGAGAGTCGCTATGAGTCTGGACCACCAGTTCAGTGGCACTTACCAACAACAACAGAGTGTGTTTTTAAACAACTGTGGTGCACAGCAGTTAAACACTTGACTGCTAATCATAGGGTCAGAGGTCCAAACACCCAGGGTCACTAGAGGAGAAAAGGCCTGGTGTTCTGCTTACTTGAAGATGGCAGCCATTGAGACCCTCTGGGGCAGCTCTCCTGTGTCCTGTAGGCAACCTGGCTTGTAGCGTCGCAGAGTACAACGGCTTCCGAGGGCTGTAGTCATTATAGAAGCAGATTGCCAGACCTTTCTTCTGTGGTGCCACTGAGTGGGTGTGAATGGCCAACCTTTAGGTCAGTGGGTTTGTGTCACTTGGCAGTCTTTTTTTTTTTTTTTTTAAATGTTTTATTGTGAATTATGTGATAGTTTACATGGGAAAACATTAGCTTTACATTCATCCTATCGTATATCGTTGCATTGGAATTCTAGCCTCCAGATATGACCAAATTTTTTTTTTTTTTTTTTTTTTAAGCCACTAACTTGTTGTATTTCTGTTATAGTCAAACTAGGAAACTTAAGAGGTCAAATAATTAATTTTACCAACAAACTTGATGTGGAGGCTCAACTGGGCAAGAGAAGGGATAGTAATTTAGGATTTGAATCACCTGAGGATATGAAAGGACAATGAGGCTATAGAAATAAGAAACCAAGAATCAGTTAGGAGAATAAAACAGGATTTGGATGGGAAGAGCAAAATTCTAAAACTAGTCACTATCAATAATGTCATTTGTGATCCATATACTGAAGTCAGTAGTACATAGGTACACATGCTCCAACAGTTTCTATTCACCTTATTTATCTTACAGGTAATAAGGCATCAGCCTCAGTATTATCATCTCAACATATTTAAATAACTTGATCTCATTTAGAATTTTATTCATGTTTATCTGTGTGCCACTGTAACATCTTACATTTCTCTGTAACACTTGATATTACAGTTTCTAGAATATGACATAAAAATAATTTTACTTTAAAGGTTTTCATAGTTATCATTATTGAAACTGTAAATATTTCTCCATTAATAAATACTAGTATTAGTTTCCACCACTCGATTGTCAGTTTGTCATACTGTGGTGGCTTGTGAGTTGCTGTGATTCTGGAAACTATGCCACTGGTATTTTAAATACCAGCAGGGTCACCCATGGTGGACAGGTTTCAGATGAGCTTCCAGATGAAGACAGACTAGGAAGAAGGAGTGAGAAAGTACTTCTGAATATTTAGTCACTGAAAACCTTATGAATAGCAGAGAAACACTGTCAGATATAATGCTGGAAAAAGAGCCCTTCAGGTTGGAAGACACTCAAAACGTTATGGGGGAAAAGCTGCCTCCTCAAAGTAGAGTTGACCATGATGATGCAAACGGAGTAAAGCCCATGGTAGAAAATCCCAAGGAACTTTCATTTGCTGATGGGGCACAACTCAAAATAAAGAGAAACAACTGTAAACACTCATTAATAATC